CTCACTAGGCTATGCCAAGAGATTTGGAAGACATCTCCCTGGCCAACTGATTGGAAGAGATCCATATTTGTACCTATTCCAAAGAAAGGTGATCCAACAGATTGTGGAAATTATCAAACAATATCATTAATATCGCATGCAAGTAAAATCTTATTGGAGATAACTCAAAAACAGCTGCAGCAGTATATTGACAGGGAACTTCCAGAAATGCAAGCTGGATTCAGAAAAGGATGTGAAATAAGGGATATCATTGCTGATGTTAGATGACTCTTGGCTGAAAGCAAAGAATACCAGAAAGACGTTTACTTATTTTTATTGACTATGAAAAAGTATTCAACTGTGTGGATCATAACAAATTATGGGTAACACTGAGAAGAATGGGAATTCCAGAACACTTGATTGTACTCATGAGGAACCTGTACATAGACAAAGGAGGCTGTCGTTCAAACAGAACAAGGGGACACTGCATGGTTTAAAATCAAGAAGTGAGTGCATCAAGGTTGCATCCTTTCACCATACTTATTCAATTTGTATGCTGAGCAAATAATTCAAGAAGCTAGACTATATGAAGAAGAACGAGGCATCAGGATTAGAGAAAGACTCATCAACAATTTGCGATATGCAGATGACACAATTTTGCTTGCCAAAAGTGAGGATGACTTGAAGCACTTACTAATGAAGATTGAAAACTAGTCTGCAGTATAGATTACACCTCAATATAAAGAAAACAAAAATCCTCACAACCAATAAGCAGCATCACGATAAATGGAGAAAAGATTGAAGTTGTCAGACTTCATATTACTTGATTCTACAATCAACACCAATCAGACGATGTATTGCACTGGGCAAATCTGCTGCAAAAGACCTGTTTCAAGTGCTGAAGAGCAAAGATGTCTCCTTGAAGACTAAGGTGCACCTAACCCAAGCCATGGTATTTTCAATTGCCTCTTATGCATGTGAAAGCTGGACAATGAATAAGGAAGACGATTGAAGAGTGGATGTTTTTGAGTTGTGGCATTGGCAAAGAATGCTGAGAGTATTGTGGACTGGTAAAAGAACTAATAAATCTGTCCTGGAAGAAATGCAACTGGAATATTCCTTGGAAACGAGAATGGCCAGACTTCGTCTCACCTACTTTGGTCATGCTGTCAGAGGAAACCATTCCCTGGAAAGGGATATCATGGTTGGTAAAGTGGAGGGTCAACGAAAAAAGGGAAGACCCTTAACAAGTAGATTGACACAATGGCTGCAATGATGGGCTCAGGTATGGCAAGGATCTTGAGGCTGGCACAGGACCAGGCAATGTTTTTTTCTGTTGTATATAAGGTCATTGTGAGTCAGAGATGACTTGATCGCACCTAACAACAGCAACAACAACAATTTATGGCATAAATAGACAGTGAAGCACAACCCAAAATGCACAAACAGCAGAAGATTAATTAGGTGAATGGGACCTTTTAAAAATTAAATTTCTATGTGTTTCAAAAGATTTCTCCAAAGGAGTCAAAAGAGAACCTACAGATTTGGGAAAAAATATTCAGCAATGACATATGACAAGGGACTTATCTCTAGAATTTATAGAAAACTCCAACACCTCAACAACAAAAAGACAAACAATCCAATTAAAAAATGGACAGAAGACATGAATAGACACTTCACCAAAGAGGATATTCAAGCGGCCAACAAACACATGAAGAAATGTTCATGATCATTAGCCATTAGAGAGATGCAAATCAAAACAACAATGAGATACCATCTGGCCCCAGCATTAATAGCAAAGTTCAACAAGACAGAAAATAACAAACACTGGCGAGGATGTGGAGAGATTGACACTCTCATACTCTGCTGGTAGGACTGTAAAATGATACAAGCACTGTGGAAAGCAGTATGGTGATTCCTTAAAAAGCTGGAATTAGAACTACCATTTGATCTAGCAATGCCATTACTAGGTATACATCCTAAAGAAGTGAGAGCCAGGACAAGAACAGATATATGCACACCCATGTTCATCGCAGCACTATTTACAATAGCCAAACGATGGAAACAACCTAGGTGCCCATCAACAGAAGAATGCATAAGCCAACTATGGTACATACAATGGAATACTATGCAACACTAAAGAATAATGTAGAATCTGCAAAAACACCACATAACATAGGTGAACTTGGGGGACATTTGCTGAGTGAAGTGAGTCAATCACCGAAGGACAAATATTGTATAAGTTCATTATTGCAAAAAGTCAAGGAAAGCTTTATATATGGAAGGAAATTTTCTTTGTTGGTTACCAGGGGTGGGAGGGAAGGGGAGGATACACTGCAAAAATAAAAAGAAAAGAAGAAATGTAAAAAAAGAGTGGGGAACTTTAAAGTTAGAATGAAACAGATTAAAAATTTATACAATTCGGTATCACTTACGTTTGAGGATTGTTTGTATGTATATATAAATTTTGTACTTTTTTATACTTTTACAATAACCCCTTCCTTTTCTAGAGCACTTTTCATTTACAGTGTGTGACTGGGGGAGGGGACTGTGTGCTGTGTGTTTTACTACAATAGCCCTTTAATACTGGCAGGGTAATTACACCTAATATCTTAACTCTACAAATAAAAAAACCAAAATTATGTAACAGATAAAATGATTTGCCACAATTCCCTCAGCTAATCAATAACAAGATTGTGATATGAATTCAGATGTCCTTTTTTTTTTTTTAATAATCTTGTGTTTTCAGTGGAAGTTCAAACCACAGTTTTGATGCCTATTCAACAATTTCTATACAAGCTGCTCAGTGACATTTGTTATATTCTCCACAATGTGTCGACAGTCTCACTACTTCCATTCTGGTTGCTCCATTCCTATACGTCTAGTCTCCCTGCCTACTTATATTCTCATCTTGGTTTCTTTTTTAAAACTTTTTATAGTGATTTGGGTGAAAGTTTATCGAGTGAATTGGCTTCCCATTCAACATTTCATACACATTCTGTTTCTTGATATTGATTGCAATTCCCACAGTGTAACAGCACTCTTCCCGCTTTCTCCTGTGTTTACAATTTCCATTCATCCTTCTTCCTTTCCTTTCTTGCCTCCTGAGTTGTGTCCCTTGGCAAATGCTGCCTGTTTACTCTCATGTGGTTGGTTCTGCTAGGGAGTGCATACCTCCCTGGTGTTATTGTTCACCTCATAGGCCTGTCTACTGTTTGGCCAAAAGTTGAGCCATGGGGGTGAATTCAGTTCCAGGCTCGAAGGTAAGAGCCACATCAGGAGTGGGGTTGCCACCAGTCTCTATCAGACTAGTAAGCTTGGTCTTTCTATAAATTTAGTGATCTTTCTTTTTTAAAAAATTTTATTGTGACTTGGGTGAAAGTTTACAGAGCAAATTCATCTTCCATACAGCAGTTCACATACACTTTGTCTCATGGCATTGACTGTAATCTCTCACAATGCAACAGCTCTCCTCCCACCCCCTCCCCATAGTTTCCTCTTCCCTGTGTCCTTCCCTCTCATGTACTCCTGCCTCCCCCAACTTTCTCCCTGTACATACACAGCCCTTCTATTCTCTCATGATTGATTTCTCCAAGGAGTGTATCTACCTATTGTAAATGTTTGGTTCATCTGACTGTCTTTTGTTTGGCTGGAAACCACAGGAGTGGGTTTAATTCCAGACCGGAAGGGTGGCTAGGGGCCATAGTCTCAGGGGTTCCACCAGGCTCTATCAGCCCAGCAAACCTGGTCCCTGTAAGTTTAGTGATCTTTCTGACCTACATACAACAATAAACACACTGCAGTTGAGTCTGACCCGATTCATAGAGACCCCTCCGTGGGCTTCCTACATGGTATCACTACAGAAGTAGATTGCCCAACCATTGCTTTTCTCCATATAATTAGATGAAAAACAAAAAGCACTCATTGCTAACCAGCTATTGACCCACCATAATTGTTCAATACATACCTGCGGAATCTCTGTTCAAACCTCTATCTTATCATTGCCCTAAATCTATTCCTGGGAGTTCTGGTAGTGTAGTGCCTAAGGCACTTGACTGCTAACCAGAAGGCTGGTGGTTCAATCGCACCAGCCACTCCTCAGAAGGAAGGTTGGGCAATCTACTTCCATAGTGATACTGCCTCAGAAACCCAAGGAGGGGTCGCTATGAGTTGGGTCCAACTCAACAGCACATAACAACAACAATAACTCCATATTGGTTCTCATCATTACCTTCAAATTCACTTCACAATCTTTTCTTTCTCCTTTTTCAGTCTACCTCTTACCTGACCTGGTAGTATATCTCCCTGAATCTTCATCTATCCACTCCACAAATGCATACTGAGCCCCCACTATGTGTGAAATACTGGGTTACACCATGTGAAGAAGACAAGTATGGCTAATCTCAAGCATTTAATCAGCTCTTAGGAAAAACTACTGAATGGATTTATATTCAAGAACATACAGTCAAGTAGAGGTCATATATCAGGCATATCTGTCACGGCTGTGAAGTCTGAGAAGGGCTAAGAACCAAATCTTATCAATGTGTCAAAGTTTAACCCTACTCTCAATCCAATTTTCTCCTTGTATCTCCTATTTGAAAAGATAGGTACACAATATATGCTTAGTTTCTACAAGTGAGTTTCCCAGAAGGGATGGGTGAAGAATGGCAATAGAAAACAAGAAACATAGGAGAATACAGGAACCAGACTCAGCAGAAAGGCCTGGCAATTCACTGCCAGGAAATCAGCATTGACAACCCTTAGAGCACGGTTCTCCCCTGACACACATGGGGCCACTGAGTCAGAATGGGCTCAACGGCAACTTTCATAGTAACCTCAAAAGGCGAGGGAATATATTTAGATAAACAGAAACAATGAAAACAAAATATTGCCATCTGGAGAAGAATGCATCGTGTAAACCTGGCAGACTGTGGGGAAAATACCAATGTTGCCAACAGTCCTTTAAACAAAGACCTCCCTTTCAGGGCCCTTTGCTGTGAATCAGAATGTCCCACTTCTTATCAATCAGTGGAAGGAGACGTTTCCCCTCGGTCTTCCAGCTCACTGTAAATCGGGGAATATATGTTTAATTCTTCATAAAGACGATCCTCTGGAACCTGACAAGGGTGGAAAAAAAATCATTCAATGTCAATCACCAAGAATTTTCCATCACCAGAAGACCTGTTCAAGGGATTTATCTCATTTGTGTGTGTGTGTTTCTGAATCTCATATTTTGCCCCATTACATGGTAATTATTGTCCGTGTCTCCAACAAGCCAAGCCAGATTGGTGACCAAGTGCACCCCAAGTGGACCCAAAGACAAGTTGGTAACACTATTATGTGTCTCAACTTTGCCACATCTACTGCTTTCTTTATCTTTTTAAAAAATAATAATAATAAATAAAGCAGTCAGAATGCTTCAGGAAAGCAGATAGATGAAAAGCGTACGCTTCGTCTGGCAGATTTGAATGAGCATATGTGCATCGAATATTGTCTGACGTTGTTGTTGTTTTTGTTGTTAGGTGCCATCGAGTTGGCTCCAACTCATAGCGACCCTCTGTACAACAGAACAAAACACTGGCCGGTCCTGCGCCAGCCTCACAATCCCTGCTACACCTGAGCCCATCGTGCAGCCACTGTGTCAACCCATCTCGCTGAAGGCCTTCCCCTTTTTTGGGACCCTCCACTTTACCAAGCATGATATCCTTCTCCAGGGAATGGTCCCTTCTGACGACATGACCAAAGCATATATTGGCTGATATACAGTACTGCAAAACTAATTTTTTTAAAATTCAGATTCAAGTAATATACTTGAGAGGGATTTTCATATATATTATCACAATTCAGTACAGACAGAGTTATAAGAAATGACAGTAAGATTATACGGCGATTATTCTTTTCACAACTACCTGGTATTATGGGAAGTAGAGAAATTAAAAAACAATGTTTTAGTTATACTACACTGAGTTAAAGCACATCGTGTTGCTATCATTTGGTTTTCTGTTCCCCCCCTTCTGAAAACTCGATGAGAACTGGAATCCTATTCACTTTTACACTTGGTGAACAGGAGTATCTGTCATTTGGTGGGAGCAGGCTGCCACATCTATCATAAAGGCTGGATTTTGATGGCAGGTTTGCAGAGCTTGCGTGAGAGAAACTGCATATGGTTTTAGTGTTTTTTAATGCATCACAGCTCTTGTAACACAGTACCTTTGGATGGCTCATGCAAGTATAATCGGTGAGCTGTAGAGAAATAGGAGCCCTGGTGGCTCAGTGGTTAAGCACTTGGTTGTCATCAGAAAGGTCAGCAGTTTGAACCCACCAGCCATTCCATGGGAGAAAGATGTGGCAGCCTGCTTCCATAAAGATTACAGCCTTGGAAACCTTCTGGGGCAGTTCTACTCACTGGCATCATTAGGGAGGTGTGGGGGTTACAGACTGCCCTGAGTGACACTGTCACAAGGGGTGACACCAAAATGACTGTCTATAAAATTTTTATGTAGTGTTTCAGCAGAAATTTATTGTTTGTAAAAATATAGTTAGTTATAAAAACAAAAACATTTTTCCTAAGCCCAGCTTATATGTATAAACATACCTGCAAGACTAAAACATTATATTAATTTACTCTTTGAACTTTCTAATACACTCCGATCAGAGCTGTCATTACTACTCAGTTACAATGAAGCTTCTAATCACATGGTTCCCTCTGCTCATGCTGTAAGTACACAGTGTTGCTTTTGTTGCACTAGTGTTTTTACAGCCACTGATTCTGTCCAGTTCTTTGGTGTTTTAGCTACAATGTTGTGGTAATTATTATTTGTGAATCTATATTGGTAACGTTTTTGAGAATAAAGTAGTAGTAATGTGGTGTAGTAATGACCTGGTATGGCTTTTCTAGCCATAAGTCTTTGTAAACTCTGTGGTGGAATTTGCCATGAGCAACTGAGTAGCTCCTGACTGTTAAAGTTATCCACCTGGGGTATTTTTGTTGAATGTAGCACCAAGTAATTTTCTAGGAAGTTTGCTCTCTCTCAGGTGTATAGAATTATGATGTTGGGTTTGGTTAATTTGGTCACTAGGCCAGGCTCAAAAAGGAGCCCTTGTAGAGTCAGAAGAAATCTCTCTGATTAATGGCTGAGAAAGACGTGCTGCTGAGAGAAATGCGCTCCTGAAAGACATGCACTTACTAAGAGACAGAAGCGAGAAACATGCACTGAGAGAGAAACTGAGAAACACGTACTTTTGGGAGAGAGACACCAAGAGGCATGCACTGCTGGGAGAGAGACTGTTGGCTGAAAGATGGCAGGCTGAGAGAGACTAACTGTTGTTCCTGAACTTGAATTGTAGTCTGTTGCTTCCCTAATAAACCCCATAATCTGTGAGTTCTGTGTGGCTGCTGCAGTGAATTATCAAACCCAGCAGAAAGGTGGTGGGTGCTGCAAGAGGAACAGCTGGTGTCAGGGCTGGTGAAAGGGCTGGAGGGAGAGCATGTCTGGCCTCACAAGGAGAGGCCTTGGGCTCCTGATGGCGATTCTATCTTCCTCTTGTGGGGTTAGAGGAAGTCAGAAGATGCGGCCTCCTTGCGTCTTTGGCAAGTAATTAAAGGAAAAGAAGGAGAAAAATGAAAAAAGGTTTCCTCTCAGTTACTAATAAGGAGCCCTGGTGGTGTTGTAGTTAAGGCATTGGTCTGCTAACCAAAAAGGTAGGCAGTTCAAACCCACCAGCTGCTCCACAGGAGGAAGATGAGGCAATCTACTTCTGTAAAGATTCACAGCCTTGGAAATCCAATGGGTGTCACTATGCATCAGAATCAACTGCATGGCAGTGGGTTTGGATTCTCAGTTACTAAAAATATTGTAATTAATGACATAAATCAATGCAGTTTTGTTGTTAATACTCATATAATCTAAGAAATCCAATTTACAACCATATTTATCACAGATTATTCTATGATTAAAATTGATAATAAACATCACTAAGGATTCTGTGCAGTTTCGTATGGGAGAGGACCATGGCAGGGGTGGTGACACCATGAGTTACCACACTGGGTGACTCTGATCCTAGTGACAATACTGATTCTACTCTATCCTGTAGGTCTGCTAAGAGTCAAAATTGACTCAAGGGCACACAGCAACAACATGGACAAGAAAGTAGGCCTTTGATCCTACAGGCAGAAACTTCCTTTTGCTGGTATGAATCTACGGGGAATGATACCTCTGTTTCACAGTGTAACTGGGAAACTCGAGTCACTGAGGTTATTGACCCCAAAATTATCCCTCTCTTTATGGTTTTCCTCTTTCAGGTTTTCTGTACCTTCTCTGATAAGAGGTCACTGCTTTTGAAATTTCTTTGACAAAGCAAGGAGTCTTTGAGGAACCAGAAGGATGAATTGATAAACATACCTTTAGGAACAAGGTGTCACAGCAAAAGGGCAGAGAGCTAGCCAGAATGATGTAAGGTTAATCCTGCTATAAAACTTTGTAAAATTTCTATGACTTTAGCTCAGAAGGAAGATTGGACAATCTACTTCCATAGTGATACCATCTCAGAAACCCAAGGAGGGGTTGTATGAGTCAGATCCGACTTGATGGCAGTGAATTTGGTTTAGTTTTTGGTTTTTAACTCAATGATGTTTGTTAATTTCTCCCAGTTACTTATCTATATTTTTCACTCCTTTGTACATCTTAGCTTTCCATCTTTTTCCCTTTCATAGTCCCCTAAGCTTTACTTCTTTAGGACAGAGTCTATAGGTCAGCTCTACTCTAATCCCCACCTTGCACATCTTCTGGCTTATAGTTATCACGTTACGGTTATTGTTGGCTATTTGTTCTCCCTCTCTTCTGAAAACTCTAATTCATCACTTTAAACTCTTAGTGAGCAGCACTCGAGCAGTATCTGTCATGCATTAGCATTTGGTAGCTACTCCTTGAATGACACAGTGAATGAGGCTCTGCCTTTTTCTGTTGTCAACAGCAATAACAAGTCTACAAAACACGTGTACTTGATTTAGAGGAAAAGAGAAGTCCAAGGAAAAAATCCAACCGGAATGATTCTTTTTCACACATCAAAGGTGGAATGGGTAAGGAAGGCAAGTGGAAATGCAGGTGGTAGTCAAGAGTTAGAGGAGGAGGACTGGAGCAAGAGTTAGTCACTAGGCTGCCAACTGAAAAGGTTGATGATTGGACCCACCCAGTAGCTCCAGGGGAGAAAGGTCTGGTGACCTGCTCTCATACAGGTTACAGCCTAGAAAACCCTATGGGGCTTCTCTACTCTGTCACATGGGGTTGCAACAAGTCCAAATCAACTCGACAGCACCTTACAACAACAACAGTCATGAGTTCGGAGTCCCTGGGTGGTGAAGCAGTTAATGTGTGCCTGTTGAGAGGTTAGAGGTTCAAGTCTGCCCAGGAGGGCCTCAGAATAAAAGTCTGGTGATCTATCTCAAAAAAATCAGCCACTAAAGACACTATAGAACACAATTCTACTCTGGCACTCATGGGATCACCACGAGTCAAGTTGGCTTGACAGCAACTGGTTTGGTTTTGGAATTTGGTTTAGTCAATAGTTAGAGGGAAGGTTTGGAAGAAAGAAGGGCGGTAAAAGTCAAGGGTGTTGGGGAAGGAGAGTGCAAGAATGTATATAAGGGGCTATGCTGAGAAAGAAATTTAGGTCCAAATACCCGAGTGTTTTCATCACAACAACACTGCCTGCACATTCACCTCTCCTGCTCCAAATGAGTCGAGAAACATCTACATTTTCTAAAATTATAACGACCCTAATCCCTAGTCAGAAAGATATACTATGAGATCTGTACTACTTGTGGGAGTAAAATGTGATCTAAAATAGGAGATTTAGAAATGTAATTACTGAAAGAGACAATTTTCTATAAGAAATGTGGAACAAATGTTCCAGAAAACAATTCAGGCCATGTTTTTAAAGTTAAAACTTAAATTATTTAACCTGTCATTAGTATCAGGCTTAAATATCAGTCTGCTACTTACCTTATCTTTTTTGAATAATTCTCCCACTCCATAGATCATAAGTAGCACTGCACTGCAAAACCCCAAAATGGTGAGAAACAGGAGCATGGCCACGATTTCCTATTGGACAACCACCACCAATAACAACAACAAAAGGCAATTAGAGAATGCTGTGCTAGCCGTACTTTTCCAAGAATAAAATTAAGAAAAACTAAAACACTAAACTAGAGCCTGAGGACTAAAAGCCACATGGGATCCTGGGCCAGAAACCAGTAGTTTTGCAACAAAGGACTTTGTTGGGAGAATGGGTGAAGATGAAGTAAAGCCTGTAGACGGGACTATATAAGACCTGTAGTGTACATATTGTATATGCAGAGGATTATATAGGGAATTGAAAACAATAATATTTGGGGAATTAGCTGTAGGGTCTATGGGATTTCCTTGTACTATTTTTACAACCTTACTGTATGTCTGAGATTATTTCATGATTTAAAAAAAAAAAAAAAAAAGTAAAAAAACAAAAGACAATTAGAAGTACATGGTAGATGCCCCGAAAGTACAGCCTTACAACCCTGCTATCTTCACCCCCCATATGACCAATCCCTATAAAGTGGCACACTCAGGAAAACCAGGAGTTGCTATTTGGTTAACATAACAGACACCTAAAACCTTGCCCAGCCCGGCCTAAGTGGGTGAAAGGAGGGGCCACTAGCATCTCCCTGAACAACAGGGACCTACGAAAAATGATGTTGCATGATTGAGATTGTGAAAAACGAGTGTTTCCGTGGAAAAGGAAAAGAGGGCTTCTTAATTAGATTAAGATCCAGCATTTCAAGCTTCCCTCCAGAAATACTTACAGTGGAAAAGGAGGCCACAAAACAAAAGTCATCCTGATCAACTTCCAGGCAGTTGGAGAGGGAAGCCGAGCTTTCCTTCAGGTTGATGATCAGGATGATAATTCCTGTTGCCGCAGTTACGCTGCTGATGGTGTTTGCTCCCAGTCTGCCTTGCACCTGGTGGTAGAGAAGAGCACTCAGATATGTGCCTTCGCCCGCCAGGGTGCACAACCTCACCACTACTATCTCAGGGTTGGATGCACCCATTCAACCCTGCATTGGTTCAAAATATAGCTTAAAAAGGGAAATCTTGAAAATATACTTACTGTTTCATGTGTCAAATATTAACTAAAAATTAATGGCTGTTTTTGTCAGGTATAAAACCTTTCTGAGAACAAATCAATCAAAATGGCCATTTGTGCTAAGTATATACTTTGACAGAAAAATAAACCAAAACAATTTGCTTTAACCGAACAAAATGAATCAAAACATTGCCATTGAGTTGATTCCAACTCTTGTGACCCTATAGGAACTACTTCATGGGTTTGTGAAGGCTGTAATCTTTATACAAACAGGCCGCCATATTGTTCTCCTGAAGAGTGGCTTATGAGTTTAAACAACTGACCTTTCAATTACCAGCTGAGTGTTTTACCACTGAACAGCCAGCATTCTCTCCCTCCACTGAAGATATACCTAAGATCCAATCATTACAACTTCCCTAGTGGAAATCCTCCAATTGCCTTTTAAAACCCTGAGCTTGAGCTGCTTGACCAAGCACCTTGCCATTTCCTGCTAGGACAGCAGTCCCGGCTGTCATCACTCCCCATAGGACCAATCCCTACAAAGCAGCACACTCAGGAAAACCAAGAGAGAGTTTTCTTGCTGGACTGCATTCGAGAGGAACCACATGGATACACAAGGCTCTCCTTACATGGCCCCCCGATTGGAGATGAGTTATTCAGATGATCACGTATGCCACAGGGACAAGGCAGGTGTGGGGCCATTTTTTAACAATTGTCAAGGCAATGCTATGTGTAGTCGTTAAATTTGTGTGTCAACTTGGTTGGGCCTTATTGAGCGGCTGGGCAGCTGGCTGGAGTTATTCCCCATGGTGAGATTGCTCATTAACTCCATGGTGGACTGTATTGGAGCAGCTGAGTAGCTGCTTTTGGGATGTGGTCTCCTTCCAGTATATAAGAAGCAACTTTGAGGAAGGTCTCAGCTTTTTGGCACGCTTGAACCCTGCATGTAGTCAAGTCATTGTTCAACAGCCTGCCATGCCCTGCAGATCTTGGGACTTTCAATGGATTTGAATTAGTGGCTTGCCATGTTGTTTGGTGATTTCAGGACTGTGCCTTTTCACATGTCAACCTTGGGTTTGTCAGCCTCAGCAGCCAGCAGCTGTCTGAGTGAAGAAAAGCCTCCAGCTTCAGTGGACCAGGAGCAGGAGACAGAGCTGAAGGCCAAGGTTGAGGGGCTCTCACCCAGCCCCTAGAGCCTGGCACTTTGAACTTGGACTTAAAGCCTCCAACTATAACAGAATAAACTCCTGTTTGTTAAAGCCATCCCATTAGTGGTACCTAGTGGCAATATTTTACTGTTTTTTGGATGATTATATCACATTTCTGTTATTAATGATTATATTCAATTTCTGTGACAAAAGGCCTTTTTGTACAAAATGTTGTTGTTAGGTGCCATTGAGTCAATTCCAACTCATAGTGACCCCATGTACAACAAAATAAAACCCTGCCTGCTCACGTGCCAGCCTCACAATCCTTGCTATAATTGAGCCCATTGTCACAGACCCTGTGTCAAAAAAACAAAACAAAATTAAAAAAAAAACAAAACAAAAAAAACGGCCATTGAGTCAATTCAGACTCATAGCAACCCCCACTGGGTTTCTGAAGTGATAAATCTTTATGGAACTAGACAGCCCTATCTTCCTTCCACAGAGTGACTGGTGGGTTTGAACCACCAACCTTCTAGTTAGCAGTCAAATGCCTTAGACACTGCACCACCAAAAAAAAAAAAAATATATCCACAGTCACATAATATAGGAAATGAAAACACATCACTAGAAAAACCCCCAAAATGCCATTTTTTCTGACCTTCTCAATGACTGACAAAGAATTGCAACTCACCAGATACGTTGCATCGTTCCTTTCACATATAACTGACAAAAATCCAGAAATAGCAAACTGTTCAAAAGGGAAAGAAAAATGCCACAGTGAGTCTCTCCTCTTCTCTGTATCTCTTCACCTCCATCCTCTAAACAGTGGGTAAAATTGGGGGGACTCTATAAAGCTATCTATTACTGTCCTCTGTGACCCCCATGCTTCCTCATCCCTAGCTCTGAGAGAGTGCTTCTCAAAGTTAAATGTGCACATGAATCACCTGGCAGTCAAAATGCAGATCCAGATAGGCAGACAGATGATGATAGATAGAGAGATAGGTAGGTAGGTAGGTAGGCAGGTAGGTAGGCAGGCAAGCAGGCAGGCAGGCAGGCAGGTAGGTAGGTGGGTAGATGAGTAGATAGGTAGACGGATATGGACACATGTATTTCATTTTTGTTGTTGTTGTTGAGAATACACACAGCAAAACACACCAATTCAGCAGATTCTACACGCACAGCTCAGTGACCCTGATTACAGCTTGTTGCATTGTGCAACCATTTTCACCCTCTGGGTGAGGCCTTGACTCTGCATTTCTCCCAGGCTCCCGGGTGCTGCTGACACAGCCCATCCACGGGCCACTCTTGGAGTAGCAAGGTCTTGCTGCATGTGGGGTATGACTCTAATCCTACTCTCACATTGTTGTGAATTATTTGTTTGTATGTCCGTCCTCTGCTTTAGACTGTCAATTCCTTCGGGCAAGAAACACGTTTCTAGCACATATATATCCAGTGTCTGGATATGATGCATCATATGCGAAAAACAAAACAGTGGCTGCAGAGTCAGTTCTGAGTCGTGGAAACCCCAGGGGTGTCAGAGCAGAACAGTGCTGAGGGTTTTCAGTGGCTTCATCTTTTGAAAGTAGATCTCCGGGCCTCTCTTGCAAGGTATCTCTGGGGAGATTCAAACCACCAATCTTTCAGTTAGCAGATGAGCATGTAAACTGCTTCACCACCCATTACATATCATACATTCATTTTGAAAATCTGCATGGTCAAAGACTTAGTGAAAAGTTAAATCAATGGCACAAACTTAAAACAATCTCTTAAAATCTCAGATTGTATCATGGGTTGATAGACACGTAACAAGCTAAGTGTTTAGCATGGAGAGCCAGTAAGAGAGAAATTTCAAATGGCAAAGATTCAAGGAGAATCTCCAACAAGTGGTCTGAGTGCTGACTATGTAGCAGGGAGTCAAGCCAAGTTTTGAGTTAAAGTATATCCTTGTGGACAAAATGTTGATACATAACATCACGCGGATTCATTGCAAAACAATTATGCTGAATGAAAAAAAACAACATTAAAGAGAACATACTGTATAATTCCACTTATATAAAACTCCAGAAAACACAAGCTAATCTATAGTGACAGAAAGCAGGTCAGCAATTACTTGGAGATGGGAGGAAAAGGAGGAGGAAGTGATACAGAAATAGCACAAAGAAACTTCTGGAGATGATGGATATGTTCTTTTGTATTAATGCAGAGACGACTTGATATGCATGTACATGTGTCAAAACTTATAAAATTATACACTTTAAATATGTGCAAATGATTATATGTCATTTACATCTCAATAAAACTATGTTTAAGATATGATTCACCCATCCATTTTCCAGATGTGCAATGATTCAAAAAGCTGCCATGCAAATGTTCCTGAAAGAGTTTCTGGGATGCAGTAGAAGTTTTCCAAACTGTTCACCTTGCTCTCCTCATCCCAGCATTCTGCTTCCAGCCCTTCAATAATGTGAGTTTATTGATGAATGGGGTTAGGGACAACTGCTTGGAATTTGAAACCCTAGATTCAGTTTCTATTGGCTAAATGCCTAATATCCCTTGGGCTATTTAATTAATTTGTATTAGTCTCAGTTTCCCCATCTTATAAAAGCATGCTAACATATTTAACCCACCATGAACTCTAGTAAGGATTCATATGTATGTTTATGTATGTATGTATGTGTATATATATGTGTGTGTGTGTGTGTGTGTGAGTGTGTGTGTATATATGTTGTTGTGTGCCACTGAGTCAATTCTGACCCATAGCAACTCCATATGACGGAGTAGAACCTCTCCATAAGGTTTTCTGGGTTGTAGTCTTTATGGGAACAGATTGTCAGGTTTTCTCTCCAGCAGAACCACTGGTGGGTTCAAACTGCCATCCTTTTATTTAGCGGCCAAGTGTTTATCCATTGCACCACTAGGAAGTGCTCTCTCTCTCTCTGTTTCTCTTTGTCCCTCTGTCTCAGTCTCCCTCTCCCTCCCTCTCTCTCTTTCTCGCTCTCTCTCTCTCTCTCTATATATATATATATATATATTTGTTATTTATATATCTCAGAAGTGGTGATAAGCCATTGGTTAGATCTGGGTAAGATAAAAGCTATGTGCAGTGTTATTTTGGAAACAATTTGTAGGTCATATACTTACAAATACTGCTCCCCACAATGGGTAGCCTGCTTTAAATGATGAAAAAATCTCTCTCTCAAATTCTGAAATATTGATCATGGAGTAGACAATTGTTCCAAAGGAAAGGCATATCAAACCAATCAGAATTTGTGTTACCTGTAGAAAAATTTATAGGTTTGTTTAATAAGAAAATATTTTCCCAAGATTGCATCAATTTCCTTACAACTAAAGCCAAATAGGAGAAATCGCTGTCATGTCTCAGGCACTCAGGATCCCAATGTGAGATTCTACAATATCCTTGGCCATTAGGAGAATTGACACAGGTATCACCTAGTGCACAGGCAGCCAATACATTTATTTATGTTGCCATGATTGACGTCAATAACTGTTCTATCCATCCAAGTGAAGACAGAGATTCTGAATCCTCCACAGTAAGGTATACATTCATCCACCAGCAACTGACTAGAGTTAAGAGATCCTGTTTGCTGTTCTTGTCCTAGTAATTTGAAGCCTTCATGAAGAAATGCTTCTCTCTTCCCAAAAGCGCCCAGTTAGTGTCACCTCTAAAATATTCTTTTAGAGGGTCTTTCACTCCCTCATGAACCCAAAAGGGGTAGTACTCTGCTCACACAACCAAATGTTCTTTCCTCAAGGCAGCCCTACCCCAGTCAAGGTTAGAGGAGCCTCACTCACCCCCAGGAATTCCAGCTCCTTCTTCAAGAGTGTCAGCCATGTGTGGTGTGGTGGAGATGGGGCAGGTTTCTCCAGCAGACGGTCATCATGGAGAGCTATTTCCGAGAGTCCAATATCAGCCGCACTTTGAAGGTTAACAAAAATTCGATCATTAGAAAATTCTGTAACTCCCTGTGCAAAGTCCTAGACTGATAGAAGAGGGATTTTATTTGCTTGTTTTTTTTTTTTTTTAATGAAACAATCCATTACCATTGAGTCCATTCCAATTCATGGTGACCCCATGGGTCACAGAGTAGAATTGAAATCCATAGGATTTTCTTGGCTATAAATTTTACAGAAGCAGATGACCAGCCCTTCCTTCTGTGGTAACATGGAGTGGGTTTGAACCACTGAAGTTTTGGTTAGTAGGCAGGAACAAACCCATTGTGCTGCCCAGGAACATAGTACCTAGACAAAATCACTATATAATCAGTAACTAAAATGAGACAAACACCAAACCAAGTCTTCCAAATTTTTTCTTGTTAATCTATGATGATGAGTAAAAGTAAGAAGGAAACACGTTTATCTATGAAACTCACAGACCTTTAGCATAGAAATATTTCTGAGTATATTTCGCCAAAGATACACCCAATTTCGTATGTACAGAGGGCAGTAAAGGAAGGACGGTTAGGGGTTAGTTGTACTTCTCATCCTATTTTCAGCCTCAGAAGAGGCTAATTTGGAATAATGTCCCTTCTAAAGCTTCAGAATATACTTACTTTTTAAATTTCAATTATATTCAGCCTCATATTGATTCTCCAAAGCTCTACCTCCAGTCTTGTTTTTGTTGTTGTTGAGTTGGCCCCAAGTCATGGTGATCCCATATGCTACAGAGTGTTTCTTGGCTCTAATCTTTATGGAAGAAGTTAGCTGGGCCTTTATTTCCATAGAACTACTGGGGGGTTCCAACGGCCAGCCTTTGAGTTAGTTGATGACTGCAAACCACTTATACCACCAGGCTCCACAGTCTCTTCTAAAACCTTTTAAAGGTTCTTCATCTTTGGTGTTGAAAGTAAAAGAATACTACGCACCCCTGTCTGTCTTCATTTTGAGAACATTTCACCTCTAAACAATAGGAAAGAATCCTCACAGCTTGAAATTCACAAAGACTAACAGGAAGAAACTCCGGGTCACCTTGTAGAGCTTATGTCTTTAAGACCCATCAGACAAGAGATCAGTATGAACAATATGGTGTCCCCTGCCTCCTACCTAGAATATGACCCTCTACTGTTAGAAGGAGGAGACCTGCTGGCACATGGTTAAGGGCTCTGCTGCTAACCAAAATGTTGGTGGTTTGAACTTAGCAGTTACTCCATCGAGAAAAATCTTGGTGATCTCTGGTAAAAGTTACAGTCTAGGGAACCATGTGGGGCAATTCTACTCAGTCATAGAAGATCACTAAGTTGGAATCGACTCAATGGCACACATTGTCATCAACTACTATTAGAAAATCATTATGCCCAGTTGACAGGCTGAGAAAAACCCTTCCTGCCCATCAGCCAGAGAGAACCAGTGTATCACAGAGGAGTACAGCAGAGTACTTCCTTATATTCGAAATATTCATTAAGCCAGATGGGTCTGTGCCTAAGCTCATGAATTGGCATCTCTCCATCAGGTCCCTAAGTGACTGTGAATAGAATAAAAAGTGGCCAGTACCTACCTGGACTGTCCTTGTGGGTTTGGGAGGGCGAGGTCTGCTCTGCTCATGTTTCTCCTGTCCCTTTTTTGTCATTAACTGGGCTATGCAGCAATGAGCATGACTTTTACAGCAAGACTTGGTGGCCTTCTCACACTGTGCTCCAGATGGGCAGTTAAGCTGGGTTGACTCATGGCACTGATGACTATCTTCATACACAAGTCATTTGTCAGATAGATAAGTTTCCCAGCTGATCAAGATCAAGAGGGCGTGTGTATGCATATGTGCATGTGTGTGTGTGTGTATGTGCGTTGTTATAATGAATGGCAAAATTGATGAGGCTACTGAGTAGGGAGTAGTATGAAATGAAGAACGTTGAGATTCCTGGAAGATAATTTGCGGAACTCATAAATAAGGCATTAAGTGGATGTTGAGAGAGTGAGAGAAAACAGGAGAACAGAAATAAATGGGGAGCTCTGGTGGCACAGTGCCTAAAGCATTTGACCACTAACCCGAAGGCTGGTGGTTCAAACCCACCAGCCACTCTTCAGAAGGAAACCCAAGGAGGGGTCACTATGAGTTGGATCCGACTTGACAGCAGTGAGTTTTGAGTTTATTCTAGAGCTTTCTCTACTTGTGTTCCAATTCAGCCACTTCTGTGAAAGAAGTTCTCCAACTACACCTTTGAAAATTGGTCTTCCCTGTTTTAGACATACCCACCTTCAGAGTTAGGCCCAAGGCTGAAGTACTCTTTGCGTCAATGAGCATGTCTTTGTATCTCTGGCTCCATCTCTGACTTCCATGTCTGTTACCCCTCTCTCTTCCTGTCAGACGCTGTGTATAGGGGTCTCTGCAGCAGAGCCTCTGAGACTGGATAGGGTAGGATTCTAATTGCTGCGATCTGTTGCACATTAGTGTGGAAGCTAACATTTTCACACTAAAGACAACTCCATTGTCTGCTATCACGTTAGACTGACTGCTTCTGAGTGGTGAGAGAGGGATTCAAAGTCCGCTGGTAATGGCAGAGGTGGGACATCAGAGGCATGGAGAGGCATGAACTCAGTGGCATATCCTCTGAGCACATCTGAAGAGCTTTGGGTTGAGCAGTAACCCAAATTAGGGTTAGGGCTAAACCCATGTGCTCATTCTAACTGCATAACAACAGCAAAACTGAGTACACATGAGATTCTCAGGTTTTGGCCTCTTTCATTTCAGTCTAATTATACACATAATCTGAAATGACTCTTTAAAAAAGCATCAAGATACTACAAGAAGGATTTCTAAGGGAAGGTGACTTTTGAGTCAGGACATAAAATGACAGCCTCATGAGTTTTCACTGGCTTGCCTCTTGCTTAGTGAAAATACCCTACACCTCTGGGAAAGGCCTGAGGAAGTGGCTGTTTATGATGCTTCCTGTTTGTTAAAGGGGCCCTGGTAGTGCAGTGGTTGAAGCACTTAACTGCTAACCATAAACTTAGCAGCTTGAACCCACCAGCCACTCCAAGGGAAAATGATGTGGCAGTCTGCTTCCATAAAGATTTACAGCCTTGGAAACCCTAGGGTTCTACTCAGTCACAGGGCTTCAAATCAGTACAAACTGGTTCAAAAGGGTTTGGTGATTGTCATTGTAAGCAAGGGCTGCATATGCATTGGATAGCAACCAAATCTGTTGCCCCTGGTATTTTGCCATCTGCTCAAAGATGGCGGCTGACTGTGACTCTCACACCAAACTCACTGCCAAGCAGTCGATGGTGACTCATAGTGACCCCCTTTGGGTTTCTGAGGCAGTAAATCTTTATAAAAGTAGATTTCCCAGTTTTCCTTCCATGGAGTGGCTGGTGGGTTTGAACCGCCAACCTTGTGATTAGCAGTCAAATGCTTTAGGCACTACGCCACCAGAGCTCATGTTGTTGTTGTTGTTGTTATGTGCCTTCGAGTCGGACCCGACTCATAGCAACTCCTCCTTGGGTTTCCGAGGCAGTATCACTATGGAAGTAGGATTGCCCAACCTTCCTTCCGAGGAGTGGCTGGTGGGTTTGAACCGCCAGCCTTCTGGTTAGCAGTCAAGTGCCTTAGCCACTATGCTACCAGAGCTCATAGTCCTGCCAATAATGCTTCTATCCAAAAGTCCTGCCATAGTCCTTTCTCCTGAAAGTTTCAGGAGCCTGACGGGGGTGACTGGATTATTGGCAAACTGGAGAACAACACACATTCAAAGGGGTGTGGTCAGCAGCCATCTCTGAGCAGGGCACAGCTGTTTGTCTCCTACTCAGGTCAGAATACCAAGAGCAATAGATTTGCATATGCAAGACTTGTTTCCAACCACATTTACTGAACCGTTTGAACAGCTCATAGCCCTGCCCTGTACTACAGGTCGCTATGAGTCAGAGTGGACTCAATGGCAGTGGATTTGTTTGTCATCGTTGGGTGCCATTGAGCTGATTTTGCATCATAACAACCCCAGGTAAGAGTAGAAGGGCTCTCAATGGTTGCTAGACTGTACTCTTGACAAGAGCAGGTCACCAAATCTGCCTCCTGTGGAGTCGCTGGGTGGGTCAAACTATCAACCTTTCATTCAGGGCTCAGCACATACCTGTTGGGCCACCAGGGTTCCTTTTGGTGCTTCCTAGGAGCTCTGGTAGCATAGTGGCTAAGACACTTGCCTGCTAACCAGAGGGCTGGCGGTTCAAACCCACCAGCCACTCCTCGGAAGGAAGGTTGG